GTTTTCATTACTTAGGCTAAGTTTTTTTTTCTTTCAGTTTTGCCTTGATTTTCCTTTGTCCGTACTCAAAATAAGACTTTCATATCTTAATTGTCTATTTTGTTATACCTAATTTTTTTGTTTCCCACCTTTTTCCATAAATTAGGTTTCTGGTTTTGTGTTCATACTATAAATCTCTACTATCTCTTTTTTTCTTTTTGAAATTATATTTGACGAAAACTGAAACCTTAAAAAAAAAGTTTGTTATAATTTTTTGAAACAAAAAAAGTCATTAGATTGTTTTGGGCCTAGAATGTTAAAGATTATACCTTTTTGGGTTTAGAATGTTAAAACTTACAGCTTTTTGGGTTTAGGATATTAAAGATTACACCTTTTTTGTTTTTCATCTTAATAATTTTAATATTTTTTGAGACGTTAAAGATTAACATTTCATTCAGTTTGATCACTAAAGATCAAGCTTGAATTTCTATCTACAATCTCAACTATTTCATTTTTTTCTTTTTTCAAAAAATAAACTCTTTTCTTTTCTCAGTCGTTTCTTTTCTATTTTGTTTTGCATCTCTTCGATACAAATTTAGGATGACTTGTTTATGATTTTTCTTTCATTTTGAGCTTTTTGTTATGTTCTTGGACGAAAAGGTTTTCGTTACTTAGGCTAAAGTTTTTTCTTTCATCTTAATAGTTTTAAAGTTTTTTTAGACGTTAAAGATTAGCATTTCATTCAGCTTGATCACTAAAAATAAACTCTCTTATTTTTCTCAGTCGTTTCTCTTTTTATTTTGATTTGTATCTATTCAATTTGATTTGTTTATAATTCTTCTTTCATTTTAAGCTTCTTGTTATATTCTTGGACGAAAGGGTTTTTGTTACTTAGGATAGAGTTGATTTTTCTTTCAACTTTGCTTTGATTTTCCTATGTTCGTACTCAAAATAAAGCTATATCTTATTTATATGGTCTATTTTTTCAGATTTATGATTTTTGTCTCTTACAATTTTCTATTAATTAGGTTTTAGGTTTTGTGTTCCTGCTATAAAATCTCTATCTATTCTTTTTTTGTTTTGAATCATATTTGACAAAAGCTGAAACCTTTGAAAAAAAGGTTTGTTGAATTTTTTTGAAACCAAAAAAAATCTTTTTTTCTTTAGATCGTTTTGGGTTTAGAATGTTAAAGACTACACTTTTTTGGGTTTAAGATGTTAAAGACTACACGTTTTTTATTTTTCATCTTAATAGTTTTTTAAAAAAAATGAGATATTAAAGATTAGCATTTGATTCAGCCTGCTTATTAAAGATCAAACTGGAATTTCTTTCTTCAACCTCAACTTTTTATTTTTCTCTTTTTTCAAAAAATAAACTCTCTTGTTTTTTTCAGTCATTTCTCTTTTATTTTGTTTTACACCTCTTCGATTCAAATTTAGGATAACTTGTTATAGTTCTTCTTTTATTTTGGGCTTTTTGTTATGTTCTTGAATGAAAAGATTTTCATTACTTAGGCTAGGTTTTTTTTTTCAACGTTGCCTTTATTTTCTTATGTTTGTACTCAAAATAAGACTTTCAAATCTTATTTTTGTGGTCTATTTTTCCGATCTAAGATTTTAGTTTTATATATTTTTTCGTTAATTAGGTTTCTAGTTTTTGTATTGCTGCTATAAAATCTCTATCTCTTTTTTTTTGAATCATATTTGACAAAAACTGAAACTTTTGAAAAAAGGATTTGTTAAAAACAAAAAATTGAAACAAAAAATATCTTTTTCGTTTTTATATCATTTTGGGTTTAAGATGTTAAAGTTTACATTTTTTTGTTTTTCATTTTGATAGTTTAAAAAAAAATTGAAATATTAAAGATTAGCATTTGATTCACTTTGATCACTAAATATCAAACTGAAAATTCTCTTTTCAACTTTAATTTTTTTATTTTTTTCAAAAAATAAATCTTTTTATTTTGATATTTAATGATCAAGCTGAATCAAATACTAATCTTTAATGTTTAAAAACAAATTTTGAACTATTAAGATAAAAAACAACTCTTGACAAATACAGCAAGAAAAACATATTCGAAACAGGAACTTCCAAGAGAGGAAAAAGAGACCAGAGACAACACCAAAATACACAACCAGAAAATAAACACTTACCAACGAAGAGGGAAAGAACGGGATTAGAACCAGACTAACCCGACGACGGATCCGACAAAAAAAACAAACACCGCCCAAAACCACAATGACAGGTCTAAAATTGAAAAGGAAGAAAGGCTTAAAAACCAAAAAAAACTGCAAAAAAAACACCCAAAAAAAAAAAAAAACCAAAACTAGATCTAGAAATTCTGGATCTAAAACTTCAAGAGAAACATGAAAAAAAAAAACAACAGAATATGTAACACGAAAAGGAAAGCAAATCCGACCGACATATTTTGATATCCTCATTTCCTCTACAATATTCTCTCTCGTTTTTCTCCCTCGAGTTCGCCCTAGCCACCGTTTTCATCCGACCGACGATTGGAGGCTTCTATAGCTCCAATGTCGGTCGGATTTGTTTTTTTTTTCATATTTCATCTTCTGTTGTTCTTTTTTTACATGTTTCTTTTGAAGTTTTAGATCCAAAATTTTTAAATCTAGTTTTTCAAGATCTACATTTGGTCTCTTTTTTTTTTTGGATGTTTTTTTGCGGTTTTTTTTTATTTTTAAACTTTTCTTCCCCTCTAATTTTAGATCTGTCGTTATAGTTTTGGATCAATCGTCGGATTAGTCTGGTTTCAATCCCGCTTTTTCCTTTTTTGTTGGTAAGTGTTTATTTTCTGGTTGTGTAGTTTGGTGTTGCTACTTACCTCTTCTTCCTCTCTTGGAAGCTCCTGTTTCGGATGTGCTCTTCTTGTATGCTCCTCCTTATCGTTGGTATCTGTTTGATTTTGCTTGCAGCTACTACAAGGTTCTCTTGCTGCTTCAATCGACTTTGGGATGGATTTGTGATTATTTGAGGTGACTTCAGTCCCGCCAAGTTTTGGGTTCTATTGGTGTTTGGTTATGGCAGAAATCTTGATTGTTTGAAATATTTTCATAGCTTTGCAGGTTGCGTGTTCGGGACAAATGTGAAATAAAATGTGCTTTCTGCTAGTTTTCTTTTGCATCTAGATCTTTTCTAGTTTGTCTCTTCCTCTTATAGATTAATTGAATCGATTGTTAGACTTAATTTTCACATGCTTTCTTTTATGAATCTCATCAATGTATTTCATCTATGTATTCCTCACTAATCTTAATAAAATTCAAATCATAAAAAAAAATCTTTTTATTTTTTTCAGTCGATTTTCTATTATCTTAATTTGCACATCTTCGATTCAAATTTAGAATGATTTGTTTATGTTTCTTCTTTTGTTTTGAGCTTTTTACTATGTTCTTAGGAAAAAAGATTTCGTTATTTAGAATAGATATTTTTTTTTTCAACTTTACCTTGATTTTTGTTTATTCATATTTGAAATAAAACTTTTATATTTTATTTTTGTTATCTATTTTGTTAGATTTAAGATTTTTGTCTTCTTTATTTTCTTATTAATTAGATTTCTGATTTTTGTGTCTCTGTTATGTAGATGAAATTCATATTAATCTCTAAAAACTCGACATGAATTATGGTCGACCCATTTTATAAATTCAAAGAATATTCAGGTCGACCAAATAAATGAAAATTTTCCATTTATTGGACTAAACCTAAAAAAGTCAAAAAATTAGCTTTATCGACAAAAAAAATTTCTTAATTCGGATACGCGAAGTTATCTTCAAAAGACCGACCTGATCATATAAAAATATAGGAAACCATCAACTTCACAAAGCATCTAAAAATTTTCTTTCGAGACCTAGGACAAACAAGCAATCTATTATAGTTCTCCAGCTTTCTTTCATTCATATTTTATGTTGGCGTTCTTATTCCGATGACCTAAACCACCATGTATATTTCGAATTTTGACTTTAATCTAATAAAAATCTTTCTTTAAATCTATTAATCTTTAGATCAAATTTAAGTTATCACCTGTATCTCTTTTATTTTATAAATCATATTTAATGTAAGCTAAAACTTTTTAAAAAATGATTTGTTGAAATTTGTTTTTTTAAAAGTATTTTTTTAGATTTTTTGGTTTATAAATGTTAAAGATTATATTTGTTTGAGTTTAGGATGTCTAAACTTCCACCTTTTTCAGAATTTGAAATGTTTAAGATTACACATTTTTTATTTTTATTTTAATAACTTTTAAAAAAATTAAAACGTTAAAAATTAGCATTTAATTCGCCTGTCTCTAGACGCTAGTTTGAATCTCAAATGATCAAATATTAGTAAAGAGGAAAATTGGGTAAAGTAATGTCACGAGTTAAAATTATAACTTATAAGCGTGGTTAGTCGAATATTGATGATTTCTCCCTTATATAGCAGGATTTCAATGGCTTGGTTGCGGGTATCTTTAAGATGACCGAGTTATCTATCATGTGGTCATCTAAAAGATGGAACTCAATCGGCTTTGAATACAATGGTTCATAAAGTCTTCTTTTGAATCAACTATATATAGGATCCTTATAAACTCAATGTAGATCTTTGTTCTCTGTGTTTTTTTTTAACACGTTAGGGAATGCCTCTTTTCCACAAGTTACATATATAAAAGAGATTAAAACATAATCGAAGAAACAAAAGGGTAAAATTAACATGGTAAAATTATCTAAATAATAAACGATTTCAAATGTTCAATATTTCAGAAGAACCGTTGTTAAAAAAAAGAAAGGAAAAAATTCCGAAGAACATATCACTCTCTAATCGCCGTACTAAAAATACGAGTAAACAATCATATTTACATATATTTTTTTTTTGTCAAAGCAAAGCGGATAAGTCACCTAGCTAGTATACACACATACTAGTTAATAATATTATTAACATGTGTACGTGTAAGTTAATGTGATATAAGTTTATTAAATTGTGTAAACAGAAGTAGTATAAAATTGAAATCTCATTTTTTAGCTTTTCAGTAATGGAGAGCAAGAAGAAGCACCTCCGTAAGCTCCTCCAGCTTAACCAAGCCCCTAGTGGCGACCGAGAGCTAATCATAACCGTCCAAAACGCCACGTCATCAGCATCATCATCATCATCATCATCAACGCCACCGTCACCTTCGCCACTCGTCTCCTCCATGGCTTTCACCTTATTCGTTCTCTTGATTGCTCTCTTCTTCACGGCTTTCTTCTTCGTCTTCATCCGTCACTTCGCCGACGATGATTCAACTGCCGAGATTTCTTCTAGGCCAAGAAGAAGAACATCATCCTCCACAACGTCGCCACGTCAGCGTTTTAGTTCCCGTAGAAAGAGAGGGCTTGATTCTCAGGCCGTGCGATCACTGCCGGTGCATCGTTACACGAAAGCAGCGAAGCAGCGGATCGAAGATTGCGTTATCTGTTTGAGTGACTTCCAAGAAGGTGAAACCGTTAAAGTGATACCGCATTGTGGTCACATGTTCCACGTGGATTGTGTTGACACGTGGCTGAGCTCACACGCTTCTTGCCCTTTCTGCCGGAGCAGCCACGTGTTACCGGAACATGACACGTGTGCTGATGTGGGCCCTTGTATGAGGAGGTGTAGTAGTAGTAGCTATTCGAATTTGGGGCAGAGGACGACTGCATTGGAACGGTCGTTGAGTCTCTGACATGTGTGCGTTGGTATTTATTGGCGCTTCTTTATTCTATTTTTATTTTATGTTATTAAGTAAGCCTTTTGAATTTGTATGAGATAATATGAGAAAATTGTAAAACAACATCGAGTAGTAATTTATTGAGAAGTAAGAATTATTTCTAAGAAATTTGGTGTTTGTATGAGATAAAATATAGAAATTGTAACATGAAATTTAGTTGTTGAAATTTAGGAAATTTTGTGTTTTCATTCGCCTAACAAGATCTCTAACAAAATTGTATTGCTTTGTGTACATTTTGGTTTGAATCAATCAATGATTGTGCTATAATAATGACAAGTATGTCACGTTTTTTGGGATATGCACAAAAATGTAAATAGTCTCAGATATACTGTCACCAATTTTCTAATGAATCTTTTGATATTTCATGTGTATAAAAATAGTTAAGGAAGTGTGTGTGTGTCTTTCCTTACACCACGGATAAAATTAAGAGCCGAGTGAATCAGAGTAATATCTTCTATGTTATAAAGTATCACAAGACATTTCAGTATAAACCCAGAAACCTATGAAGCAGAGCTTTGGAGCGAGAGAGAGAGAGTTAAAAGAAGAGTTGTGTTTCAGCAAATAGAGTAAGCACGAACTACCTCAACCACAGGAGCTTGACACATGGGACATTTTCCTCCAGCTTCCACTAGCTTCTTCGCACACGTCTCGCATGTGTTCATATGTCCACATCTGTTAAAAACAATCATCAATCGGGGAAGAAGATTTATTACAAAACAAATGCTAGTGTTCTCATGGTCGATACATACCTATACAATAAAGAATCAATGTTGCTCTCGCAGCATATGCAACAGATTCCTTTCCTTACATATTCCCATTTCGATTCGTAGCTCTCAGTGTCAATAGATGAACCTGTGAATTGAGATTATGGTTTCATCATCAAACCCAAAAAAAAAAAAACAATATGCATGTTTGTGTACTGTGACTCAGAGACAGATAGCAAACCTGATGTCTCACAAGAGCGGTGCATAGCGGCAGAGACCTCTTGTCTTATGGACCGTTGTAACTCGAGTTGCATTTCCATGCAAGCCTCGAGCATCCTCTGCAGATTATCCATCCTGTGCTGTATTCTTCCCATGTCTAACCTCAAATCGTTGATCGAATCCCAATCCTGCAGATATATTGTTGAATCAAGTGAGTTACTTCACCTTTAGAAAAGACTAAATGCTTTTGGAGATTTTCAGTGTGGAACTAGTCTTTTACCATTCCAATGCGATGCATATCATGTGTCGGCCAGTTTGAACTGGATCGATCATGGTCCCAGAATGGCTGAACTGGAATCACTGGTGAGGGTAGAGACAAAGGAGGAGATTCAACAGTATCAACTTCTTGGCCACCACTCTGAGTATCATCCTCCTGGTGTTCTGTATGTTCAGCTACTAGTGCAGCTTCAGGAAAAGACTCATGTTCTTCCCAGTCGACAGGGTTTCGGCTTCGTCTGTCCATGTAAGATTGTATTAGTTGGTCGAGATTTTCCCTAAACCCGCTTTGCAGAAGATTTGAGACACGTCTCCTGTGGTGGGAACAGCAAGTCATCAGATACATAAATTTAGGTTGAGAAGTGTGGCCATTACGGCGGAAATATTAAAAGATTCTTACCTGCTCGAGAGTTCTCTGAGTTCCATGTTCTCATTATCCTCATCCCGAGGATAGAATACCGCAGACCTATCAATCGAGACCGTGTCTTGATCAGAATGTTCTTCCGACCAGTCTTGTACTGTGCTTTGAAGATCAGCATCATCAGGCTGCATCTCTGTGAGTTCTAGGAGGCCATGGGCTTCTCCGTCCTCGTCCACGGATGATATTCGAGACAATTGATTTGGAAAATTCTCAGGAACGTCCGAATCTGCCTCCTCCTCAGCGTCATCTCTCCATTCACTGGTTTCACCATTGATAAGTTGCCAATCAGATTCTTCGTTTACCAGAATCTCCTCCTCTGCTTGTTCCTCTAAGGTGAGGGTTAGATTAATGCTCTCAGGCAGATGCTCCTGGAAATTTGTTGTCCTGTTGATAGGCCCCATAGTGGCAGTTTCTTCAAAACTTTGCAGAGACCGTTCATAGGATATCTCGCTAGTCTCTTGTAAACGACCGCATACTCTGTTCTCGTCTCCTCGAATTGAAGAGGATGAACACCCAGTAGCATCATCCCTTTGATGGCTATGCAGGTCTACTTCAGCATCATTTCCTCTTTGAGAAAATTCATCACTTTCCGAGCGTCGCCATTCACTTTGGATATTCTCAGAGAGTTGCCCCTGCCAGCCTTCTACACGTGCGGTCCTTTCTTCCAAACTTGTGCTCCGATTATGACAGCGTCTAGAATTAGTTAACTCATCCAGCGAACTTTGGTTGTCAGCCTCTCTGCAATTTAGATCTGAAGCACCGTCTGCATCATTGATGCTATCTTGGCAATTCAAATCGTTTTGTTCAGCTCTATCATCATCAGTTTCGGCATTCGATGAGGTCTCCGAATGACTAGTGCTCGCTTGACCAGAGACAGACCGGTCCAGTCTGGATATAAATTCCTCCCTGTCACAGACAAATAAACAGTAAGAAATCATGTTCTTAATCACTCTTAAGGCAACAGAAGCCTCATTTTATGGGTCGAGCTACTCTAATATTATTAAACAATACCATTCAACTAAAAACTCATACAAAATGGGTTGGCTTAAATATATAAGATCATAAGTCATAACGGTCTGAAAGCATAGAATATCAACCCACATATAATATAAGACCAATAAAAGGGGACAAAAAAAGCTTCCAGAAATGCACAAAGATGATTAATACAGAACAATTAGCCATACCTCAGCTCAGATACAGTTTGCCTCTCTCTTAGAAAGCCCAACTCAGTAGCTGCAGATGAAGTTGGTTTCTCTCTATCAACCTTGGCACCATTTCGCAAGAATCTCCCCCTTAGCAATGCCTGAAAAAGCAAAGTAAAGATCATGACTTCAAAATATGTCAAGTTGTCGACTGAAACCCAAAAGGTAGATTTGAGACAGATACAACTCTCAACTCCTTCTAGAGCCATCAAACAGCCTATGTGTCGCCTTCAAGGTGACTTGTAATGATAACACAAAAAGATAACGCAGGGAAATGTAAAGAAGTAACTAAGTATTGCTCAGCATACCTATCAACTCCAATGACGCAAACGTCATGTCAGAATCTCTTCAAATAAAAAGTACAGAATGACCAAAACGAGAACGGAATGTCTAAAGAAAGAAAAGAGTGGCTAAACAAAGACTCCCTCCACTATGTTTCCATCCTCCACCCATCTATGCATTCATCATATTCTTTTGGAAAAACAAAGTGACAACTCATCTTTCAATCATTGTTCGTCTAAGACAGGTTCAAAGTTGTATTTAGAACTAGTGATAATTATAGTTCACGTATTCATTCAAAATACATAAGAGCACAAAATAGAAGTAGAAATTTGGGGCCTTCGCAGTCTTTTAAGAAAACAAGTGTATCTGACATAGTGCACAATATCGCACAGATTATTGTTGCTTATTTGGAATAGTCACTTAAAGAGAACATACACAATGTCACTCACAGAGACAGGTAACAGAATAGCAAGAAACAGTAAAAAGGTCATAAGAACAAACCTGAATGCGGTTGCGATGAGCAAAGTTGGATACAGCATGATGCTGCATCAAGCCCTCCAGCTCTCTTTGCCTTTCCCTCTCAGCCATTTTCAACATATCCACCAGCACTTGCCTGCCACATAACTTGCGTATGCCTCTTCTAGCATGTTCATTCTGGACGCAGTTCGCATTAACAACCCTTCCATCGACTACTCTTTCAATCTGGTTACCAGCTTCAACAGGTTGTTCTTCCCTGAGGTCACCAAGAACAGGTCTCTGTTGGCTATTCATCTGAACCATCTCCCTTATGATCCTCACTCTTTCCTGCTCAGTTTCGCCAAGCCACTCTGCTCTCGAGCTGTTAGTTGTGGGAGAAGCAGAAGAAGCATGTGCACCTGTCCCGGAGCTCATCCACTCACGAAAAATCTGTCTAACTCTTTCCCTTTCAACCATCCCCAGATCTGAAGAGTGCTCGCTCTGATCCTCACTCGAGTTATGTGAACCAACATGACTCGGCGTAGGGGACCATCCACCAAGCTCGTTCTCACCCAAATTAACACTATCTATAACGATATCATGTGAACTAATATTACTGTCATATCCATTTCCCCTCAAAGCATTAGAAGTAGAGGAGCCACTCCTCCTCTCAGTATCTCTCTCACGAGCAGCATGACCCGTCACGTGATCATCCTCAAGTTCCCTCCACATCTGTAGGAGCGAGGACGCCCGGACGTTCGGCCTTCCTTCATTTTCCCTTTGTCTAGATGCTCGAACCTCAGAGTCCCGAGGGAAAGATGAATCAATCGCCAAAATGTTTTGCAGGCCAGCAATAGCCATTAGAGCAAATTCAGCAACAAACCTTTTTTTTTTAACTGTAGTGTATATCAGCAAAAAGCCTAATTATCTACAAAATATGCACAAAGGTGGACTTCTCCAGATAGATTTAGATCATCTCCCAAAATTGATATGGTGCTCATCAGTTTCCATACCTCAGATATTTCATCTGAACACGATCCTTAATTCCACGTTGCACTGGAATCATATGTGTGTCGTCCAAGAACATTTTCCAATATAGATTCCTTTGCAATCTCCTCGAGCTTAAAACTCGGATCCAAAAAGGCACCTGAAACACCAAAAGATCACCATTCGAATTTTAAACAGATGATTTGCAGTATGGTGAAAAGTTAAGATGGCGAAATTGCGCTCTTACTCATTGAGAAACCGAATGAAACAGAGATTTATCTAACTTCTAGATCAAAAATGGAAAAAAAAATCAAATAAAATTCTTAGCCATTTGGGCAGCAACAGATCACCACCGACTCTATTCCCAGAATTTAGAATAAGATTCCGATTACATTCCAGACAGATTTTCCTTGGTATTGAATCGATTAACGCCCAATTTATAAATTAAGAACCCTAAATCTCACATTCTCATCTGTTTATTCACGTGTTTGACTCTCGATAACAGTAAAACAAACCTCGAATCGGATCCCAATTAAACGAAGATCCAGAAAATCATTTCCGAGGAAAAAACAAATCCGATCGAGGTCAAAATCCAGAAAATCTATCGCAGTACCACAGATGAAAAAAATATAGGAGTATACGAGTTCGTGATATAGCATAAGTAGGAAAAAAAACCTAAAATTCCGCCATTATCAAATAAACCTAACTTGAAAGGGGAAACACGAAATGAGAGAGACGGCCATAATTAACCTACCAAGTGAATCTTCCTAGCTTCGATTTTGGAGTGAAGAAACGGTCACCTCCGAGAGAGAATTTAACCACAATACGAGAGAGGGATGATAGAGAGAGAGAGAGAGAGAGAGAGAGAGAGAGAGGTACATGTGGACCTGCTTGTTGTGAAGAAAATCTTACCGTAACACGGACGTCTGGAAAAATTGACAAGCAGCTAATACCTAACTGACACGTAGCACACTTCCCTGCTTCCCAAAGTTGGTTTTTTCTTTTTGGATTCAAGTAAGAATATTATTATTAATAATATAAAAGGTTAAATAATCTCAAATAAAATTCAGTTTTGAATGAAATCATAATATAATATCCAAAAAGTTCTACTTTTATATTGAATGTCTGGTAAAAATATGTCTTGATAACGTTCAAAATGTGAATATAATATGTTAGCAATTTAGGATTGCTTAAAATCCTTTTGTTTTAAGTAAATCTTTTGTGAAACTCTCATTTTTTTAAGTATCGAGACATATTACACTAAATACGAAAATTTAAAAACATAGTTTTAACATCATTCAATCTGTATTAGATATAAATATATATAAACATAAAAGTAGCATATTTAGATCTAAATTTAATAAAAAAATGAGTTTTGGATTTAATATTATGGGCTTAACTGATATATCAATTAGTAAAAAATAGTAAAATAACTGAATAATAAATTAGTAGAATTAATAATTAATATGATGAAAAAATTAAAAACTGAATAATTTTTAAAAACTAAGAAATTACTATTCTATTTGTTAGATTAACTACTTATAAATTTGAAATATGTAAAATAAACTAAAAAATAATTTTAAATTTTAATTATTGCATATTTATTATTGTGAATGGTATGTAGTTGATAGAATTACGTTTTAAAACGTGAAAACATGTAAAATTTTACGTAGATTTTTTAAAATTTTAGATTTGCAGTTATTTAGATTTAATTTTATAGAGTTTAAATAATAGTTTAGATAATTACAAAAAACCAAGTTTCTTATGTAATTACAAATTAAAACATGGAAATAGTTTTGTATATTGAAAATAATAACTTATTATATATCGTATATATTTATATAGAATATTATATATAAAAATATTTGTAGTGGATCAAAATAGATTTTAAATACAGACAAAAAAAAGTTACCCGTAATTTCAAATAACTTAATAAGAGATCTAACATTGAGAAGATATTACTTGAATACTGGTTAAAACTTTTAAAAGAGAAAATAATACTTTTAAACGAGAAATTCATGGTAATTGGTTTTGCATTTTCATATATTATAAGAATAGTCATATTCCAATTAATTATTTTTCATGTGAAGTCCTACACCGCCGCAGTTAAATTGAATGGTTGAGAGGCCTAGCAACCTAAAATCATTATACTGTTTTCTTTGCACTCCTTCATATAATTAAGCCCCTTCCAAGTATTGTATTGGATGGTTGATATATATGATCATAAGTATTCATTTCATTAAACTTTCCATTGTTGGTAAGTATTAAAACGCTATTGTATATTGAATATCTTGAATCTAAAGAAAAGGACAAGCAATATTTTAAGTTGTTGATGGAAGCTTGGGGATTTCGTAGGCTTAGATTTTCTTGTACTAATATAAAATAAAAGGAATCATGATTACAGTAAAAAGTAGTAGTATAACCATAATATTTTAATCATTAAAAATGGTTTCGTGTTTCTGCCTCTTTAGTGGTATCGTAACTTAAGATCGAATAAGTAGTATCCAGGTTAACCGATTCAGTTTTCTTTAATCCATTTCATAAGATTCTAAAGTTACGTTTTTCACACTTTTCTTCTCTCTAACTTCATACAAGGTGATGGATCTTCACAATTTTATATAAATGTGTATGTATCCATCGTTAGGATTTTGGCTCCCTATTCTTAATAGCCTTAATAATTTGGCAATTAATTTTAGTCTTTAAAATTTTCCAATTAGTTTAGAGATTGAGGTCGTAAAAGCAAAAGTTTCTTCAGTTAATTTACATGGTAGGGGACTAGGAGAAAGAATAAGCAGTGCATGCATCTCGCTATATAAACACTAATCAAAAGTTCTTTATATTCAAATGAGTTTATATGCAGCTTATTAAGAAAAGAAGAAGAGAAGAACAAAGTGATAGGCGTGACCACATAAAATAAAAGATTCAAAACAATGATTACAACAGAAAAAGGAATAGCACTAACGATACATAAATAAATAATAACCAATGGTTTTTCATTACACCATTTAAAGATGATACAAGCTAAAGCTTAGCTTCAATATTTCCGGAAAGGTTTTGAAAATTATATTCGGAGTTGTGATTAGTTTGAATGACTTTTTGATCTGCCGCCGGAATTGGTTAGTGGCCTCAATCATAGTTTATATAGTCTTCTTTTTGGGGGGTCATGGTCTAATAGACTAATAGACTAATTAAGGGATTACACATATTTTCATGAACCATTCCATAATGGTTAATTAATAGAGACTTAATCATATTATTCGTTAGATTAAAGTTTTAATGTTGCTTCATAGCCCGACCATTCGCAATATGGCCAATGTTAATAGATTAGAGCGTTAGATATCATTAGGCACATTTGCTAAATCATATGGAGCCATGCTTTCAAATTAAATTTTTCTTTCATTCAAAGATTATTCTAAAAATCTTTTTCAAAAGCATTTTATTGAACTTTATTAGCTGATAGCATTTTTAAGAGTATATGTGTAATATGGTTTAATTTACTTTACTAAGATAAACTTTAGAAAAATCAAAAGCAACATTAAAAAAAAAAATCAGATCATAGCATTTTATTTTAAAATATATATAGAAATTCTCAACTTATAAAGAAAAAGGCAAAAAAAACCACCTTATTATTTTCTAAATTATGAAACAAAACATTTACAATCCATATCTATGGTTTGAGTCTTAACTAAATCTTAAGAGACATTTTGAATAGTCATTTCCCTCACCTTATCGCCGTCCATATTCATAATTCGTTTGGTTTTAATATTAGATGGTAGATTGATGATAATCATGAGCCTTTATTAAAGTCATATTTAAGATGAGCGTGTTAATCATGGTAGCACCACTCGAGGGCCCTAATGGAGAGAGTATGTGGTGACTGAATTACGTATAAGTTTATTCGTCAATTTCAAATACATATTATATATGTATTATGTGCATGTAATGTTAAAAGTTAAAACAAAAATCAGTTCCAACTAATTTGGAGGAGGCATAATCCGCTTATTAATACAGTAAGTTGGAGTACCGATCCAGATATTGAGACTAACCGACACCCAAATTAGAATAGAGCAATGTGACTAATTAGAGTAATTAGGAGAAATGTTCAAAATAGAAGTAATTAAGAGAAACAAAGAGAGTTTAGTCATGGGCATAGTCATAAGGTGATCTTAGGGCTCATTTGGTATTTGGGTGAGTTTAGAAAGGTTATTTTAGAGGTTAAAAACATAATTTGACAGGCACAATAATACTATTACTAAAGAACTAGTTTCAATAATATATATAATTTAACTTATAAATCCAAACAAAAATATGGGTGATATTATAAGTGGGCAACAAAAAATTGACGGGCACAATAATACTATTTCTAAAGAATATAAAACAAATGAACAGGAAAAGCATATGTTTACCTCAAAACAAGGAAGAAAGATGCATGTGTTAGGTTTAAGGCCTTAAGGAGACATTGAGCTGTCTATGTTTGGTGTGGTCATTTTGAGTCTTATCACATCAAAGAGCAAAAAATAAGATCCAAGTGCATAAGAACATCAACTAAAGGTTTGTTCATATAAATTTGATTTGTCTTTTATTGGTACATTGCACTTTTCTTTTTCCCCATGTGTTTGAACCCTCTACCTTACTTTTGTAGGGCAAATTAAAGCATCTTATCAAATATCTTCTGTCGATTTTATATCATATCATGTTACTCTAGTGAGTTTACTCCATTTTAGATTATCTATTTGATGTGGGATGTTCCATCTAGATTTCAGTTCAGGTTTTTTTTTTCCGCTAGATTTTTAATTTTAAGAAAATAGCCATAGATTTCAGTAATAGGTTCACCAGAGCTGTGCCTAGAGTTTTTTTTTCGTCTTAAGCAAAAAAAAAAACTGATTTAATATTTAAGTATTTTATAATAATTAAAATACAAACTCTTTTAAAAAATGTTATAAAAAAGATCACAAACTAGACAAATATAAAATCAGGATTTATGAAGTGGGATACTTTTTTATAACATTATATTGAGTAAGATATTGAGTTTACATAGTTTTGATATAAAACATTAGAGAGAAAATTGGGTAGATAAAATTAGTAACGAAATGAGTAATTAACGCAAAAGAGCACTTTGGGTTTAGTTATTTCAGTAAAAGGCACTTCCAACAATTGGAGTACTTCTAATGAGTAGAATGACAAGTGTACCCTTACCTAAGCTTCTTTTGTAAGAGTTATGTATAATATTTTACAGATGTAAAAACTAACAAATTTACTGGATCGGAGGATCATTACTGCGACGTAGACAAAACCTATCTCCGCACCATGACGGCGGATCCATATTTGATTTCGGAGATCCCTTAGTCTTTGGTGTTGGTGATGACGACGACGGAAATTGTAGATCCGTGTAATCTATAAGTTTTTCTTATGAGTTGTTTCCGATTCTCAACTATTGAAGTTCCCGGATTTATGTTTGGGGGCGTATCTCTAATTGTTTCGATCTTGTTTCGATTTTATTTCGATATTGTTTCGATTTTGCAGAAGTGGCCGGCGAATCTCTAATTGTTTCGATCTTGTTTTGATTTTGCAGAAGTGGTCGGGAATCATACTCATGATGCGAAGTTGCCGCCGCTGTTGTTTGCGACGGATCGGTTCCCTCGTGCGAGGGTTAATATCTACTCAAAACCTGACTTGCTTACCACTATTCATGAGATACTCGGCAATTCACCGGAGTTCGACTTCATCCGCTCTACGTGTTTTGGGGTCTTATTCGATTTCCTAGCGAGTTTATGCCAAAACTCCGGGAAGCTCGTCCACGCTATGTTGACGAGACAGCTGTTGTCCAAGAATAATTACAAGATGTGGACGGTATACGGTGGACATCCCTTGCGATTCAGTCTTTCTGATTTTGGTAGGGTATCTGGACTCCCGTGTGGAGACTATCCCGAGAACTATGACCCAAATTTGATGGAGAAACACCCACAAGAGCCAGACGATTTGTGGAGGAAGATAATTGGGGACTCAATTCACACTACAACTGGAGACTTAGTCGATGAGCTGAGAGCGAATCCAGAGATGACACCAAAGAGAAGGATACAGCTGGCGCTTATTACGATAGTTGACAGCGTTCTCATTGCGAGTGCGGTGATCCACAGACCTACACCGAAATATGTTCGGATGCTCGATGAGATGGACTCGTTTTTGAGTTTCCCTTGGGGGAGAGAGTCTTTCTTCCGCACTATTATCACGATGAGGCCGCTGCGCAATGGTAAACATGATGATCCTAACAAGGTGTTCTGTGATCAACTATTGACGGGATCAATGCGGGTGATGGGCTTTCCACTGATTCTTCAGATGGTTGCATATAGAGCGATACCTCTTCTAGCTGCGAAACTACCTAATATATCGGACGAAACTCCGTTGTTGGAAATTAGCAGTGAGGACATCTCCAGACACAGACCCATTTCGATGGATGATATAATCGAAGTGGAGAACGATCCCAAGGTGAGCTAGTTGGTGAAGTTTAACTTTTTTTTGTTGAAATCATACATCGTTTGCAGTCGTCGACGTACACGCTGAAGCAACGTCTATGATTAGTCATCCAATTTTGTGCATCCATTGTTGATATCGACTGTGGCTGTGTATTTACAATCCACGTTGTTGTCAGTTCGCACTGGATCATCCATAAAATGTAGTCCATTGCATTATATCCATAGTACTGCTTTTGTAGCTTGAACGCTTATTAGTTTAATCTTATGAGTATGGCTGAGTGTGTGACTATATTTCCTGCAGCTAATTGTGCAGCCAATGATAGAGGTTGGAGAAAAGGGAGAACCGGCGGAGGAAGGGTGGGGGAAGTGGGATGACGAGGTCAGAGATAGGAGGGTGAAGTACCTAAAGAGGAAGCTAAAAGAAGGACACGTATTTGGGAAGGGCGAATGGTGGGGTGGCAACGACACGGAACCACTAATCGTGGTGAAGGAAGCTATTCCAAAAGGAGAACACATTAAACATGTCCATGATCGGAGGAGGGTTAAGAGGAGCAAGCCCGCCGCGTCTAAACTTGGTGTCCGAGACATGCCTTCCACGTCGAAGGCATCTTCATCTGGAGGAAGTAGGCGTCAGGAAAGTGTTTCGACAGAGAATCAATTGGAGTGGCTGATGGCTGAGATGAAAGAGAGGTGTGAAGACATTAAAAAACTCCAGCAACAGCAAGATGAGATGATGAGAATTTTGAAGGGCAGAGGAGCTGTTGACACGAGGCAACGTTCGTCACAGCTTAGGAAGAGGCAAAACCACAGGCGCAGGGAACAATCGAGGAAAAAAAACAAGGTAATTAGATAGTGTGTATACGGGGTGCATTATCCATAATGTTATTTGACTGTGGATGAGTTTGGGTGTTTTCGATCCATGTGGTTTTCTGAATTGAATGTGCCTATTTTTTGTGAACAGACCAATGATGGAGACGGAAACATGGCATCACTCTCTTTTGAGGTTAGTCTGAAAGAAGGCAGTCAGTTGCCCCGCGATTGGATGGAGGAGCCTAACCCATCTCCGGAGAAGGTAGAAGATAGGTCACATGAAAGCGGTGAGATGGATGGATTGCTAAGTCCGGTTGGGAAAAAAGAGGGTGCGTTGAAGAGAAAGAGGAGCATTTCTCCATCCGGGGATGAGAGGGAAGAGAAAGAAGAGTTAAAGATGGATGATGAGGTAAGTTATTATCGTTTTTTCATCCCGTCTATTATAAACTCGCATATTATCATCGACCTGACAAATCACTTGCCCTCTACATCTGGACAACCCAAGATTGAGGTAGGTAGGAGAGGAAGTGCCGTGGGGGAGGAATCAAAGGCAATTGGCTCCAGAGACGAAGCATTACAGACGTTTGATGGGGAAGCTGCAGCAAATATGGTAACACTCATATCCACGTTCATAAGCTTATAATTTTCCTTTCGCGCCTGTATGAAAGCGCTTAACCTTGGTGGTGTACTATCACCGTCCATGCGCCACCGTCCACGCGAATCCGTCCATGCGAATCCGTCCACGCAAATCCGTCCACGCGAATCCGTCCACGCGAGTCCATCCACGGGAGTCCATCTATGCGAATCCGTCCACACGAGTCCGTCCACACGATTCCATCGATGCCAATCCGTACACGCTAACCGACCCCGCGAAACCGTTTCCATAAGTTGTTGCATATTCTAATAACATTTGCAATTGCAGTAGATTTCTGATAAAGTCCCTCCAGCTGAGATTGGGGAGGCAAAAATTGCCGCTGACACCAAGTCCAAGCATGCTTTCGCTGACCAGTTTCTAGCCTCTTCTCCTGTACAGACAGTGGATGTAGAGAGTCGGTCGTCCAGTGGTAAACAGGTACATGTACTCACCATTGCTTTTGGTTACATCTTTGTCGTGGGGATGTCTAACAAGTATTGCGTGTTTTGTAGTCGACACCGGGGACGCAAAGGGCGGCGTCTGTGTTGACTTCGCCCCCGAGGGTAGATGAAAAATCTCCAGGAACAGTAATTGATTCTGTGCTGAAAGATCTTGAGGAGACTGCAGAGAGACAAGTTATTGGCGTCGACATTTATTGATCCCCAACTGATGATTTTTTGGATGTGTTTTAATAGATTAATGTACAGGTCCAGCCGATGGATATGTCTAGTTTGCCAGGCCGTGCGGGTACGAATGTTGATACAGTCTGTATTAGTGATTGTTCAGCTGTGTCAGAATCGACTAGGCGCAAGCCTACTGAAGTGGAAAGGGAACTTGCACTAACATTGCTAGCGAATCAAAGCAGAGCACCATTCAGTGTCCTTCCCACATTGGACGTTGACATATGGAAGCAATTCGAGCGAACGCTTGGCTCGTGTGGCTCTGTGTAATATACGCAACCTGATTCTGCGATTTTCATCGTCATTATATATTGAAATATTTTCCATTCCAACCAATTACTTGAATGTTAAAAACGCAGGAAACACCTTACGCGTATGGGGATCAACAACAACTTCCTGCTTGACCTGGCGAAATCTATGAACTGGGTAAACACAAAGGTAGATCATCCGATATTGTGATTTATACGTGCATCTAATTTCGAAACATAAAGTTTGACATGTTTTGAGAATGAATGTTTTCACTCATAGTTTGTTAATAGTTAGTTTGTCAAATTCATCCCATTTCCGAGTCATCCATGATATGTCGTCCATCTTTTGTCCTCTGTATATTGCCATCCACATATGTTGTCCATTTTTTGTCGTGCACGTTTCGTACATCTGTATTTTATCATCCACTTTCGTGCATCCATTTTTTGTCATCCCAATTCGTGCATCCATATATTGTCATCCATATTTTGTTACCGTTAAATTAGTATGTCCCATTGGATGTAACAAATCGTAGTTAGTATATCTTCCACAGTTCATCTACAATGTTTTGTATTACCCAGTAATTAGGAACTAACTCTGGATTTTGAATGCAGCACATTGAATTGCTGATGTCCGTTTTGGGGGAGAAACATGCTGAGCTTCTTGAGAAGGAACGTGCTTGCATTGCTGCACCTTGGTTAATGGACACGATCGACATTAAGCACCGATCATGGAAATCCGCAAGAAACAAGAAGACTTACAGATGGGATGACAGGCTCCGACACTTCATGGCAGCTCCAGGAAAAACTTGGATCGCCGATGTGGACACTGTGTACGTGCCAATGATATGGCTGTCGAAGCATTGGGAGGGCCTTGTGATTGACCTGAAGATGCAATGGGTGCATATACTTGACCCGGATCCCTCGTGGAAAGATGACAAGCATGTTGATAAAATCATGGGCCCCGTACTTGAGTTCCTACCGCATATCATCCGCAACCTTTGCCCATCGCACCCTTCTCAACCCGCAGTCCCAGCGCCGTTTACGTGGCATAGGGCGCGCGATGTGTACGTCAACAAGAGAAGTGGGGACTGCGGTCCGGTTGCAATGAAGTTTATGGAAATGCACGCTCTTGGGGACCCTGCGCCGCATATGGGTGGAATAACGGACGGGATGGTTGATGATTTTCGGAAGCAATACGCTATGGATCTGTACAAGGAGTTGGTGCTTCCGCTGTATGAAGAAGGTAGTGTTGGCGAAAGGGGGTAATGTTGTATGTGTTTGTGTATTTTGTAAGACAATGATTTGATGTGGCATGTGGGTGCCTATTAGGAACTTAAAGGCCAGTAATTTTTTGTTAACTCGACAGTCTTAGGCCGTCGATGGTTAGTAGTGGCTTGGGGTGTAGGTGCTGTTTTGATGAACTTATGTGCCATATTTTTTTGTTCACGGCCAGTACCATTGGTCGTGGGTTATTGTAAATGGAAATAGAAAATGCTGATTGTAATGTTAAATTAATTAATTTCGGAGCTGTTGCTATTTTTCCATTGTTTATTTTGTGTAATTTTTTAATGATATAGTCTGTAATATGAGTAATGTGGACGCAGTTAGTAGGTGGGATACTTGTGCACTCTTAATTGTAGGGAGCGATATCGTCGACCATCCACTATGATAATGTGGGTGCGACAATGTGGATGAGACAATGTGGAAAGTGACCATCTGGATGTGGCCTGTTAGTTGATGTAAGCTATATGAGGATGGATAGAAGACGATGAATGTTAGGGCATGGATAGAAGACGATGGATGTTAGGACATGGATATAAGACGATGGATGTTAGGGCATGGATAGAAGACGATGGATGTTGTATAGTGAACATGTGATTGACGTGACGATAAATTGGTGGATGAGCGTATGAAAGTGAAATTATCGCGACGATTAATTTTGTGAATAATTGTAGAACATAAATAGACAAAAATTAGGGACATTTTCTACTACGAAATTGTGGACAAGTAAAGATGGATGGATAAAGAAAGATGTGAACATTATTCACCGCTCAACAATAATAATGGATAGTACTTACATCTCGTCGGATCGAAATGGGGGTCGTTGATACTGCTTACTTGGTGAACCATCCTATTAACCCTCCCAAAAACGCAGATAAAACAGCTACCATTAACAATGTTGGGTCCCTAATGTGCTTTGAAAAATTCGATTTTAAAGACAAATGAAGAGGGGTTTTCCGGGCTTTGAGAACTTCTATCTCACTGAGTACCTTATCGAGATTGCTGTGCATTTCTTCAACTTGTAGTGAATCTGATATGAAAACCTTGATCTGGTCCGCTGCTTGGATTTCAGTGCGTTTACTTGCAGACAGCACCACAATGGCGAACTTCAGATCATTGATTTCCTCGTTTATAGCTTCGTCCTACCACTTCCACATGTGGCAACCACCATCCTGACATATCGGGTGTTCAGGTTTGACATGCGCGTTATATATGTGGAATTGACGGAGATTTATTGGCTTACCGCAAAGTTTTGGCATGAATAGTATCTTCTGTTGGGATTCGTTATACCGTTTGAATTAAGACCCGACCTCCACAGAAGCACCGAGATGGTATGCCATGGTAACTGTGACGGCGACCGCTTGAGCTAATACTAGTCCTGGATGAGGAACTAAGAGCGTAACTGAAAGTCATTGTTGCGAGCGATGTTGTACTGAGGACAACAACTAGAAGGGTTGGATTTTGCAAAAATGAAAGATGTAATGAGCAGGTATCCTTGTATAGAATGACAAATTTAATGGCGGCGAGGAGAAGGAGATGAAAATTGGTAGGCTCTTGATATGATGCCCTAGTTGTCTAAATGTGAAACACACCGTTTGAACTTTTCATGCAAATGAAGAAAGTGTTGTCGCTCTGGCTTGAGTGGATCGCTGTGAATGGGACGGTATGGATGGTGCAGGGAAGATGGCACGGTATTGATGGCCGGTGTGGATAGGCCCTATGGATGCGGAGATATGGATGACGTGGCAAGGATGGGTTGTTATGGATGGGATATTATGGATGGGATGTCGCTTTTGGCGAAACTTTAGGAGATTGTTTGTAAGTTGTATGGGTGTGGTTCTGGGGGCAGTGAGAAAATTTAAGGCAAAATGACGATCCTGGTGAAAGGGAATATTAACACAATTACGAATGTGTTGAAAACAAAGTGACAACAAATGCTTAAAGATGTAAGTAGCAAACTAAGTCTTTAGGGTAGTTAATAATTCATTTGCCTAACACACATACCCGATGGATGTTGAGTAGTGGACATTTAAATATGCCTCAAAATCAAAATAAGGTAAGTCAACACAGACGGGATGCGACAAAAAGAGTAGGAAAGGAGACGATGGTTTTCGGGGTATCCTTCAACAAGGTAGTCGGTGGATACAAGCAAAACCAAACTCATAGTGGGTTGGTGCATCTGGTGCGATTATGGCCCGATTGTTGGCAACGTCCACACTTATTCGGCACAACTTTCTTGTTCCTCGTGGCCTACAAAATAGGAAACACAAAAAAGATTTGCAATCCCGTCCAAGTCTTGGCATCCATAAACAACTGTACAAAAGGGATGTCCTAATATAGTGGACGGACTTACTGGAAACTCTCCCGTGGATGCGTGACGGTTTACTTTGGGTCTGCCAGAAGGTCTTCTGGTTCTCGGCGGCATTAATAACATCTTGGCGACGAAGTCCAGGATTTTTTGGTCTGCGACTTCGCCTGCAGGGATGATAGTGCCAGTGTATGTGGCAGCCCATGTGGCCATTTTTAACGCATCACCAACCAACAAAATGGAGGACAATCCAAAAGTGTCCGCGGCCAGTAACGCGTGACCGCAGGAGATCTTGGGGCAATCGAATTTCTTACACGAGCATCGCTTCTCGTGCAACCAAACATGGTTGGTGTCCCTGAAACGGCCAACAACTTGACAGCTCCAGCTGGATACAGCGTTGATCTTGCTGCCTTTTGACTCTTTCATCTGCTCCGTTATTACCTTGTCCACCTCAGGGGGAACGTTACCTCGATGCCTCAATGACTTCTTCCTACGAGCAGCAAACCATCTAGTCATCATCTCCTGGATGAATTGGATGAGTTCAACAATCGGGGACCCCCTTCCCTCGATCAATGCATTGTTGAGTTGTTATGCCGCGTTGCTAGTCATCATATTGTACCGCTGCCCCTGAAAATATGCTCGGGACCAATGGGCAATGCCAATTTTCTCCAAGTACAGCGCACATTCGCTCTTACTGGCTCTGACCTGGTCGAAGAACTTCCTGAAATCACAGATCCTCCAAGCGAATGCTGCTTGACCAACGAGTTTCCCAAGTCTTTTGCTGTGGAATCGGGCAGAGATGTTTCGCTTCAGGTGAACTATGCAGGCACCGTGTTTTGCTAGAGGGTTGACCCGTGACTTGGCTTTGTATATCGACTGATGTCTATCCGATATTATTGTGAGATTGGGACTGTCGGCCAGATTTTTTTCAAGATTTTGAAGGAACCATGTCCAAGACTCGTCGTTCTCTGAATCTACAACCCCAAACACGAGAGGGAAGACCTGAAAATTAGTGTCTTGGCCACAGGCGGTAAGAAGAACTCCCTTAAATTTGCCTGTCAGATGAGTCCCGTCTATGACGATGACATGCCTGAGTTTACGAAAACCAGAAATGGAGGCACCAAAAGCAAGAAAAAGATAGTGGAAGCGCTCGACTTCAAACTCATCAACTACGGTCTTCAAATTCACCACTGATCCTGGATTCGCCAATTTTAGCATATATAGATACTTTGTAAGGGCAGTATAGGACTCATCATCAGAACCCCTGATTTCGGTGATGGCTATTTCCTTGGCGCGGTGACATTTCATGTAGGAAGCAGAGCAATGAAGCTCTTCGAGCACCAGTCTCTGAATCTCTGATGCTCGGGGTCCATTAGCAGGATCGCCGAATTTTGCTTTGAAAACGGCAGCTATAACTCTTGATGAAACCTTTTTTTTAAAGGCATTTCGAGTGTCGACGCAACAGGTGTGTTCCAGATGGGCCTTCCTGATTTCGTAGTATCCACAGTCTTTCATCTCGTGGGCCATAACCCTCCAATCGCACCGTTTGTCCACGCACTTGACAACAAAATAGTTTCTTTTTGTGGGGTATTGTTTAAACTGAAACTGGCCCTTGATTGCATACAAGGTAAGGGCAATCCTGTAGTCCGATTTGCTAGCATAGATCTTACCTTCATGGACTTCTGCTTCGCCATCCCCCGCACTTAGATAAGGGATTTCTGCAGAGTGGTAAGCTGTGTCGTCAAACATAGACGGAATATCAAACTCTTCATCATCCAAATCCTTTAACGTTTTTGGACGTCCAATTGGTCTGCCATCCATAACTTTCGGGACACCATACCCCGTCCACGTGGATCCATTAATGACTGTCTCTACCTTTGGATAAGCATCGACGTGGGTGCCCTCGGGTACGACTTTGTGGTCGAAAGCATCATTCGTTGTACAGAAGTACTCTCCCTTCATGTCGTTCTCGATTTTCTTCCCATCAAGATCATCGCGCTCAGGACAGAGTACGTCGAAAGCATCCATTCCGGTAAGCGGGTCGGCTATGATGCGCTCCCAAAACTCTTTGTCGTACCCAGCTTCACAAACTTCAACATCAGATGGAACCTCATGGCAATTATCTTCTGATTCTGATAGTATTGTCTCTTCACTGCTGCAACGGCTCAGTTTACGGGTGCTGCCTTCTGCCCACTTAGCCTCTGCTTCCTGGATGTGGCTAAGAATATCTTCATCTTCGCAGTATACATGCAGGTTCTTCGACCCAACAGATGAACCGTAACCACCGAACTCATCGAAACCAGAACCACTCCTGGTTGGCTCGTTGAGAGTTTGGAAGATATTTCGCCCCTTCTTCGGTTGAGCTGGTGTGATGTAATCGGCATCGGAAGAGAAAGACACAAACATGTTCATTCTTCTGTCTGCGCGGAGGTGTTTGAAAAAGAAGCTTATGGCCCCTGTATTTGTAACCAGCACCGGCGGTGTAGTTTTCCCGGTCGTCAGCTCCATGCTGTTTTTTGGCCAATAACTGAGGGAAGGAGAAACGGCGACGACTCCCTCGCCGTAGAATTCTCTAAGAACCCTCTCCTTTAACTCAACTAAACCCATATTCTCACTCATTTGGACTACTCTCGACATCATCTGCTTGTCAATAACGAAATCCCACTTACCGTCATCTCCACAGATCCATTTGCCGCACATGACCAAGCAATGTTCGTCCATCTGGATGGAATTTTGGGCCCGAAGAAACTGAGAAGCGAGGGATTTGGGGTACATTTATGAGGCCGCGCCAATGTATGGCCGTTTACCCTAGCCACGGCACGAATGCCCATGGCACAAAAATCTATCAAGGAGACCGCCACCGTCGGATGGAGTTCAAATTTTTTTAAAAGGGAGATCGAGTGGATGAGATTTGTAGTTACCCAAATTAGTCTACTGACCGCGGGATATTAAGCTGCATTAGCTATCAAAGATTGGTTTTTTATGGATGCATTTAACTTTGAAAATAGTCTACTGACCGCAGGTTATTAAGATGCATTTGGAAAATTTATTTTGAAACTTTGAAATTTGAACCAAGCTCGAGTCCGCAGTATGAGTTGTATATGGATGGGGGTGAGTGGACGCGATGAAGTGGATGACACGAATATGGACTTTGGGCATTTGGTGGATAACTACAGTTGAAGAAAAACTGAATCTAAAATGTACATGATGAGGCGGCGGTGTAATAGTGTGCTAAATGATTGACTTTATATTCTAGTTTTGTTTTAAGAAGAAATCATTTTTCATCCGTTGTTGTATATCCATAGGATTATGTCCATGGTAGTAAATCATCCATGTTGAGTCATCCCTTTTCAAGAATCCATACGTTCCCGTCCAAATAAGTGCCATCTTAGCGAGGTGTGATTGGGTACCGTATTGAGTCATCCACGTCTTGTCATCCATTGCATGTTATCCATGCTTGCAAGCTTTGTAGTATCCTCCTGCAAAATTTGGTGCCGGTGGGATTATATATCAAGCGAATGCCGTTGACGGCAATTTGTGGCGGTCAATGTGTGCAGTACCAAATCATACACATACAAGCAAAGAGTTATGTCTTGTCGAAATTAGCTGGGATGGAATGTGATCTAGATCTCGAAGAAGGAGGTTGACGGCGACCTCTAGAACTCCAAGGTGGATGAGTGTGTGACCGTCGTCGAGAAGGGGGTTGACGGTGGCATCTAGATCTCGGAGATGGATGAGTGTGTGAAAATCGTCGAAGAAGGAGGTTGCCGCGTTGTCGTCGAAGAATGAGGTTGCCGGCGTTGTCGTCGAATAAGGAGGTTGACGGCGGCATCTAGACGTCCAAGGTGGATGAGTGTGTGACCGTCGTCGAAGAAGGGGGTTGACAGTGGCTTCTAGATATCGGAGATGGATGAGTGTGTGAAATCGTCGAAGAAGGAGGTTGCCGCATTGTCGTCGGAGAAGGAGGTTGCCGGCGTTGTGGTCGAAGAAGGAGGCTGACGGCAATTCTTCAGATTGATGGAGGTTGCCGGCGTTGTTGTCGCGATTTACCCCCAATTATCATGACTGAATGAGTTAAAAAAAACTTCTTATCGATTGAGGTGAAAAAAAAAGAATAAGGTTTAAGGGTAGTATAAGAAAATCAAATAGAACAATACAAAGGAGGAAGACAGCCAAATACTCTAGTTGACAGAAGTACTTTTTGTGATATTATAGTTCTTATAAGTGCTCTATTTTGTAATATTTTCTAATGAAATAGCTCATTATCTAAGATCAGATGTTTTGCCAAAGCATCCACCACTTGATTATGAGTACAGCCAATCCATTCAAACCGAATCTCCTCAAAACGTTGACTCCAAGCTTTTGCTTCACGAATCTAGTTAAAAGCCCCAAAATTGAGACCTTGGCCCTTAATCTGATCGATGACTTTTCTGTTGTCTCCTTCAAAAACAATCTGTTTATAGCCACGACTCCAAACCATGTTGCATTGTCATAATCAACGTTTGAAATTCACTCTCTTAAGCATTATCAAGAAGTAATCCTTGAGCTTGACCTGATCCTTGATAAGCACCATATTTATCTCTAAAAACCCAACTAGCTTGGGAAATAACAGTGTTGTTCTTAAATGATCCTACCAAATTGCATTTAACCCATCCAGTAGGAGGGTGTCTCCAAGCACCATGATTCTTTAAGAAAGTCGAAGAGAGTTATTATTACCTATCTGCATCAGATGATCTTCAGATTCCATCCATTCTTTCGCATCTGATTTTGCTAATTGGATTACCTTTGTCCAGTGTAGTTGTTTTTGTTGAAAAACAAAAAGATTTCGACTTTTCCAGATTCTCCATAAAATCTATAATGAAAGGTGTTTGAAATATGTAAGACGAGAAGACAAGTTACAAGAAAGGATCACTTCTAATTTTTGATTCAGAGTGGCTATGGAGTCGTAGAGAAGAGGATGGGAAGTTGTTGAACCTCGCCAAATAGATGATGTGGTGTTTCCTCCTCTCTGCAACATCTTCGACAGAATGATTACAAATGTGTCGTCGTTGAAGTGTATCCTCTATAGCCAAAGATCCCGAGATCATTTTCCAAAGGAAATGTTGAACTTTATGAGCTGTTTTGAGTTTCTATACTCTACCTTTGAGTAAAATATCACCAGGTGGTGGTTGGGGATGATTAATATTCAAACATTGAGATGCCTTTATATCTTTTATAACATCATTTGGAGGTTAAGAGTTACAATTTGAACAAGATATTTTTCTTTAATATAAACTAGATTTTGGATCCGCGTCCATGCGCGGATTTTTCTTATAAAATCAAATTGGACCAGATATAAGACATGCTTGCATAGAAAGAAGTTTTTGTAGTCCAACTTCGTATTTTTGTTTTTAGATCCAGTTTTGTTATTTTTTTATAGTTTATTGAAACACGAAAATGATCGATTTTTTTTTTCCAAAATTGGAAAAATATTTTTTTTTTCTAGTTCCTAAATATGTAAAATGCCCATTTTGACTCACTTGATAAATAAATCCTAATACCCATCTATAATTTTATTATAACTGCAAAATTTATATTTAAAGTCATTAATTTATTTGATATTGTATTCTCAATTTTAGATTTTATCTTTCTTCTTTTTGTTTTTTTTTGTTTTCTTCAAAATTTTAATTTTAGATTATAATTTGTTTGTGAATTTTTATTTCATTTTCATCTCATTTCATTTATGAGAATAAAAGTAATTTAAAAAAATGTTTATTTTTTTCTGTATGAAGATTAGTGTAAATTATAACTCACCTGAGTACACGTGATAATACATCATTCATTTTTTATATATACATGTTTTTTTTTGTATTTTTATCAGCATCGCTTACTATGGATAAATTTCTAATATTTTAATATGTTATGAAATGTATAAATAGTTTTGAATTTTTCATAGTTCTCAAAAATATATATTCAACAAAGAGGAAAAATAAAAGTGGTGGTAAATAAAAAGGAAATTTAAAAAAAAAGAAATATTATAAAAACATATCATCTTATTATATATAATAAAAACAAAAGTAAATAAAATAAAAAGGAAAGCTAAAATGAAAAAAAAAACTAAAATGAAAAAGAAAACTTGAAAAAATATATACATAAATTAAAAAAAAAGTGATTTATAATATGAAAAAAATAATCGATTGGTCCAGTTATTGTTGTTAAATAAGGTTTGTTTAAATAACTAAAACACCACCAAAAACCCATGTTGTAATTAATATTTCATTAAACATAATTACACATTTGTTATTATCTTTAAACACAAATAGTATCGTTTAAGTTGTTTAATTATTAATTAAGAAACATCAACGCAAAAAGTTTATCAAAGCAAATAAGAAACAAACAACAACGACCCACCGATTCAATCTTTCTCTCTGCATATTTCTGAAATCTTTTATCTCGGAACTAAAGCTTTCAGGAAGATTCCATATTATGCTCAATTTCTGCAATTCAGAGGGAGGAAGAGGAGAGGTTAGTATGAATCAAGGCAAGTTCTGGATTTGGGAAGGGAGATAATACGTCTCGTAGCTTGTGGCGTATGTTTCGTTAAGCTGATAGTTTAAGTCAATTGAAGTTAGTTTGATCGATCTGGTCATGAATTTGATGTTATTTTTTGCAAAAATTTCAATGAATGGACAATTATAGTTTAGATGCATGTTTAGGTTTTGAGATCACTTTTCGCTGAATGCTTCTATTGAATTGGGATTTTATTGAGTTATTATATCTGATCTCTATAATGTCGCTGATTGATTGAGTTGAAGTGTTTATTTAAGTTCCCTTTCTTGATTTTTATTTTTTTGTAAACAACGGAAACTGGAAACTCCAAGTCGGTCAGCCTTTGCTCCTTCAGCTCTAGTTTTAGAGGAGGATCTCTAGACTGAAGAAAATAATTGGACTCTGAAGAAGAGAAGGAGTATTGCCGGCAACTTCAAAAGTCCGATGTAACCCCTGTATCTCCCTCTTGTAAATTGTTTGCTTCGCTTATGGCTGGTCACGATGATTGATTATGCTGTGTCGGTTTTTAGTCATAATTGGATTGGATTGAGGATGAAAGCTAGGTTTTAACTCATCTGGCAATCAATGCTTTTATATGTTGAATGAATCAATCAATGCTTTTTTCAATTTGGTTTTTAAGTGAATCATCTTCTAACTGATACAATCATGGAATTGTGAAGGGTTTCGATGTATATTACTTTCCTCATCCAAGCAGTGGGATATTTCCCTACAACTCAAGAGATGACTTCACGTCTTTTAATTTCCACTTTTATAGTAGTTTGGGGCTTCATTGTGACAATCTTCAAAAGGCAATAATAAGATTCATTCTCTCTTGCTTCTCTGTCATGGCTACTGCTTTCATACGTGTGTGCTTTGCTTTTCAACATCCGCCTTTATCGTAGTTCGCTCAGTCTAGAAATTGTCAATTTGGGCAAGACAAATGATGAACATGATGATTGCGTTTGGTGTATGTCGTTCAAAGCTGGTCACTCCCACTTGCATAACTATTGTATGCTTGTTAGCCTACAGGTAAAACCATTTATGTTAGATTATAACGGCATTCCATGGCGTCTAGGACATTTATTTTAACCTATTTTCCATCATATAAGTATTGAATCTCTTAAATTGTAATACTTTTCCTTTCTAGCCTGTTTTGGTGTAAGTTAAACTTCATTCTTATTAGATTGTGAGCATTTCTAAAAATATCATTACAGATATGTAATATATATGGTATCAAAAAGATTTAA